TTATGCGTCATCCACGAAAAAGTACATCCTGTGCCAGTCTTTTGACTCTTGTTGCTACAATTCTTTATTTTTTCGTCTGTATTTTTGCTTACGTTATCCTGAATAGTGCTTCAGTATAGTGGAATCATAAACTCTGAGTTAACTGTTTTAGTTTAGAAAAGAATATCATTTTTTAATGAACCAAGTATTCTCAATAAAATTATAACTTTACTTTAAATGACCTATCCTAAGGTCTACCTTTGGGACACCTATTTTATTTATTTATTTATTTTCAGCCATGATCGTCCCACTGCATGGCAAAGGCCTCCCTACCCTCCTTCCACTCCTCTCTATGTAAAGCTTTTTGCGGCCAATCCTTGGCATAGATGTCTAGTTCGTCCCGCCATCTCCTTTTGGGCCTGCCGCGACGTCTACTGACTTTGGGACACCTGAATATAAAAAATAATAAAACCCACAGTGCTTCCTCCTTTTTAATCTTCAGTTCCTCTTCAGTTTCTCGGTAGAACTTGAGCGCGTATCTGTTGGTGTCTCGGCCGCCTCGCCCGCGCGTCGGCTGGTAGTTCACTGATACCACGTCGTACGAGGTCGTGCCTGATGACGCTGGGGGAGAAGGTGGCTAATGGTAACTTTGAAGATAGTGTGCATATTATAAACTAGCTACTTCCGCGCGGTTTCACACGCTCTGCTCAGTTCCTATTGGTCGTAGCGTGATGTTTTATAGCCTATAGCCATCCTCGATAAATGCGCTATCCAACACAAAAAGAATTATTCAAATCGGACTTGTAGTTACGGAGATTAGCGCGTTCAAACAAACAAACAAAAAAAACTTACGCTTTATATAATAGTATAAGATATGATAAAGAAGGCCATAGTGTGACTAATAAATAACATAACATAACATCACGCCTTTAATCCCCAAAGGGTAGGCAGAGTGTACATTAGACCACTGTACAATGTACCACCCATTTTTCACTAGTTATGTTATGAGTCCCATGTAATAGGGGGTGAGTCTATTGCCATATACCGGGCACAATTCCAGACTCCGTGCTACTACTGAGAATTTATAAAAAAAAAAACGGGGTTCACATTGCGGCACTTAATGCCACTGTTCAATGTAACACCCACTTTTCACTATTTATAATTCCAGTCTCTGTGCTAATACTGAGAATTATTTCACCCGGGACCCCTTGCCCGGCAGTCGCACTTGCCACCACTCGGCTATCGATGCAGTCTGCTATAAAAGGAATAACTCAGTATAATGCTGGAGACTTTTTTGTTAGAGCGCGCTAATCGCACGAACTACTAGACCGATTTGAATAATTCTTTTTGTGTTGGATAGCGCATTTATTGAGGAAGGCTATAAAAAACACGCTGCGACCAATAGGAGCCGAGCAAAACGCGTGAAATTACGCGAGAGTGGCTGGTGAATTTAAAATACAACTCTATTACATGGGACTTAGAATACAACTGGTGAAATAAGCAAAATACATTGCATATGTACATTTCTGTATACGGGAATCGACATACTATAAGTTCTATAACTCTTTACTCATCAAGGTTTAATAGAATCTTAACCTTATTGCATTTAAAATAGGTTCCAAAATCTATTAACTCGTCGAGTACCGGTTTTGTAGACACAATTATAGAACAATAGGTTGCGGTCACCGGTGACCGCTTGGTGTTTGACAGTTTAAAGGTTGTTTTTCTTTTTCAGCGGAGTGGTTCCATTGAGGAAAAGAAATAGAGCTATACAAGTCGTCTAGCGAGATCTCGCTCCCTCGGCGGAACCACTCGGGCTTATTTTAAGGGGGGAAAATCATCGAATGACTGCTCCCGCCTGGGTGAGGCGGGAGGGAGTGTCAGACTCTTACTGACTAAAAACCACCCCGTTCCTTCACCTGCACGTCGAGCCGGAGCCCCGGTTACCCGTTAGGTTCTCCGCTGGCTCAAGACGTCATAATACGCCACCAGGTCGTTATAAAATGTAAAGAAACAGTGTTGTCGTCGGCGGTATTTCCGAACCGATACGACCTTCAAACCTTCAGTAACAGAGAGTATTCCTTTTTAAAAGGCCAGCAACGCACCTGTAGCTCCTCTGGTGTTGCGGGTGTCCATGGGCGGCGCTGATCGTTTACCATCAGGTGATCCGTCTGCTCGTTCGCCTCCCATTCCAAAATAAAACGTAAAACAACTTACTGGACATCAAAAGTGTCTTGTTTTGTTTTTTAGACTGCAGTTGCTGCTTTTTAGCTTTCCCGCTGAAGGGAGTCTTGCGCCGAGCTTGCGGCATTGTGGCTTAGCGCTGAAAACAAAATTAATACATGTTGTATATTGAGTCTGTGGTTGATTTGTAATTAGTCTGTGGTATTGCTAAAATAAATAGTTTATGCTTCGATCTCGAATTGTGTGTTTCTTTTATTGGCGACTTCGGTAAATTAATGGATTATCAGTGGAAAAATGGCGTGTAAAATATCGAATATTGTGTTTCCCGGACAGTTTAACCCCAAGACTGATAAATGGTGTGAATACAAAGAACGATTATTGTGCTCATTGGATGTGTGTGGTGTAGACAATGATAACCTAGAAAAAGCGCGATCTATATTCTTATCTCAGTGTGGAAAAGATACTTATTCATTGATTGTATCACTTTTAGTGCCAAAACGACCAACTGAAGTTCCATTTAAAGACATTCTTGCGGTGTTAGACCAGTTTTATGAACCTGAATTGAATGAAATATTGCAAGCGGGAAAATTTCATACACGCACCCAAGCTGATGGAGAGGGCGTGCAGGAATTTGTAGCGGCCATTGGGTTGTTAGGTGCCAAATGCAATTTTATTGACCTGAAGCGGCAGTTGCGAGACCGTTTAGTGTTGGGTGTGCGCGATCAGCGCTTGCGCCGTGAGCTGTTGAAAACTAAAAATTTGACGTATGAAACAGCAGTACAGTTGTGCCTTAATCACCAGGCTATTGTGCAAGATATTTACCCAGACTCTAAACTCTGCACGAAGCAAACTCATTTAGATGGCGCCGAGGCTATGGATATTGACAAGATTAGTGCTGCGGGGTGTCGACATTGTGCGCGACATCACAAAGAAGGCGAACGATGTCCATTTATAAGGGCTAGGTGTTTTTATTGCAAACGCCTGGGGCATATCGCGTCGGCTTGTGATCGGAAGAGTAAGAAACAGCACCAGGTGGCAGACGTCACAGAAGAGCCTAATGCAGGAAAGGTCGAAAATATGATGGGTGTGTACGTGTGTTCAGAGAGACACGCACCCCCTATACAGGCAGAGTTAACGATTAATGGTGCTGCAGTTACAATGGAGGTCGATTCTGGAGCATCTCGGACAATTATTTCGGCAGCTACGTATCGACACTTGTGGATTAAACCCCCACCTCTGAGACCTACAAATGTTAAATTAGTGACATATTCCCGTGAAGCCTTGCAAGTTCTGGGGTTCACATATGTTCAGGTCACACTGGGCAACAAGGAGGCTCAATGTGAATTATTTGTGGTGTCAGGAGAAGGACCTAGCCTTCTGGGTCGAAGTTGGTTTAAAGCTTTAGACCTGCAAGTAACTGGTATCTGTTGGACACAAGCGGAAGTTACTAGTGATTTATTGAAAAAGTTTCCTGAGTTATTTAAGGATGCTCTGGGAGAGTACAAGGGGCCGGAGGTGTCCCTGCATCTACGTACAGACGCCACGCCGCGTTTTTTAAAGGCTCGTCCGGTACCATTTCCACTAAGGAAACAAGTTGAAGAGCAATTGACGCAGATGATTAATGATGGAATATTAACTCCTGTAAGATACTCTAAATGGGCAACGCCACTAAGGATTGTGAAGAAAGACGATGGTTCTCTTCGGATCTGTGGAGATTATCGATCAACTGTCAACATGGCAATCGATGTTGATACATACCCCTTACCTGCAGCCACGGAGAGTTTTGTAAAGCTCAGTGGGGGGAGAATCTTTAGTAAATTGGACTTGAAACAAGCCTATATGCAATTGAGGGTAGATCATGACACAGCTATGCTGCTGACACTAAATACGCCTCTAGGACTCATGAGGATGAACAGACTAGCCTTTGGAGTGAATGCGGCACCTGGTATTTTTCAGAGAGTTATGTCATCGGCGCTAGCAGGAATGGATGGCGTAGCATGTTTGTTGGATGATATTGCTGTGTCTGGGAAGACATCAGAGGAACATGATGCCAGGTTACAGGCAGTTTTACACAAATTAAATGAAATGGGTCTCAGATTGAAATTAGGTAAATGTGTCTTTGCTTCAAACAGTATTAATTTCTTGGGACATATGATAGACGCCGAGGGGCTACATCCATGCCCCAATAAAGTCAAAGAAATTAAGGAAAAACCAGCCCCAACAAACAAGCAGACTTTACGTGCATTCCTGGGCTTATATAACTTCTATGAAAAATTCTTGCCTGACAAAGCAACCTTGTTGGAACCTTTGTACCGTCTTCTAGAGATGAAGAAGCCATGGCATTGGGGTCAAGTTGAGCAAAAGACATTTGATAGGGCAAAAGACCTATTGGCTTCTGATTTGACATTAGTTGGTTATGAAGTAGACCGAGAGTTATTGCTTATTTGTGATTCATCGGACTATGGACTAGGAGCGGTGATAGTACATGTTATGGATGATGGATGTGAAAAACCCATTATGATGGCTTCACGAACTTTACAACCTCATGAAAGAAGATATGGACAAATAGATAAGGAAGCTTTGGCAATCATGTTTGGATTAAGGAAGTTTCATGAATTTCTATCAGGCCGTCCATTTTGTATTGTAACTGACCACAAACCTTTGGTGAGTCTTTTTGACCCTAGTAAACAAATTCCTGATCAGATTTCTCCCAGAATGTTACGATGGTCTCTGAAACTGGCTGGTTATAACTACCAAATTAAGTACAGAGCTGGAAAATTGATTGGTAATGCAGATGCACTTAGTCGTTGGACTGAGCTAGAGACCTCGGAAATATCAGTGAAACCTCTCAGAGATGTGTTGTTATTGGAGGAACAACCTGACGGCTGGAACTTGGATGTATCCAAATTAGCTGCAGAAACCGGGAGAGACCAGGTGTTAAAGCGGGTTTTGTTTCACATACTCCATGGCTGGCCAAATAAAGCTCCAGACACCACCCTACAGCCGTATTGGACACGCAGAGATGCTCTTTCACACAATAAAGGATGTTTACTGTGGTGCAACAGAGTCATTATTCCTGCTAGTTTACAACAGGAAGTACTTCGATTATTGCATGCACCGCATGCAGGTGTAGTCCAAACAAAGGCTTATGCAAGAGGATATGTGTGGTGGCCAGGAATGGACATACAAATTGAGAGTGTGGTGGGAAGCTGTGAGGCATGCCAAGCGGTTAGAAATAATCCACCAAGAGATCCACAAGCCTGGATTGTTACTGAAAGGCCATGGAGCCGAGTACATGTGGACTTTGCAGGCCCATTCCAGGGCAAAACTTTTTTTGTAATGATTGACAGTTATAGTAAGTGGTTTGAGGCAGAGATCGTTTCCTCCATGTCTAGTGAAGTTGTGATAACAGTATGTAGGAAGATATTTGCATCACAAGGCATACCCGATATTTTGGTGTCAGATAATGGCAGGGCATTTACTTCAAATGAATTTAATACATTTTTGAGGAAGAATGGTATAAAGCATTTGTACTCGCCGCCCTATCATCCGGCTTCGAATGGACAGATTGAACGGGCAATACAAACTTTTAAAAATAAATTGAAGAAAATGTCCCTTAACAACCTACCATGGAGTGAAAAACTTCCTAGAGCACTGTACGCACTTAGAACAGTTCCTACTAGTTCGACTAACAAAACTCCGGCAGAGATGTTGAATGGACGTAAATATAGAACAGCTGTATCAAGTTTGCATCCTGATAATGTACCAAGTTCACAGGAACAACAGCTAGAGGATAGATCTCAACAACAGGCTGAAAGGAGATTTACGGTGGACCAGCCAGTTTTGATTCGTAACTATGGACCAGGGGAGAAGTGGAATAGAGCCACTGTAGAGATGGTAGAAGGCCCTAGCTCATATATGGTGAGGACGGAGGATGGTGAGCTACACAGACGTCACGCTGACCAAATACTTGCTCGTAGATTAACTCAACTGGCCAATAGACAAGTAATGGCAGATCATTCAAGGTCAGGCTCTTGTTCACCAGAACCGCCAATAGAGATACCTCCTCCTGAATTATGGCCAGACATCATTGGTATACCAAATACAGATGGACCTTAGGTTTTATTTGATTTGTATGAGTTCTTTGAAAGTGATTGTTCAATTATTTAAATAGTACTTAGTATTTAGGTGATTACCTACTTAGCTCTAACTATTATGAAGGAAAGGTATGTTGTATATTGAGTCTGTGGTTGATTTGTAATTAGTCTGTGGTATTGCTAAAATAAATAGTTTATGCTTCGATCTCGAATTGTGTGTTTCTTTTAATACATAAAAATCTATAGCGATAAATACAATTGGCAGTGTCTGTTGGAGATATTAAAATGACCGCTTTTTACTACAAGCATATAGCCGAGCTTGCGGCATTGTAGCTTAGCGCTGAAAACAAAATTAATACATAAAAATCTATACCGATAAATAAAATTGGGAGTATATGTTTGTAATATTAAAATAACCGCTTTTTACTACAAGCATATGAATATACATACGATACATATACCAAAATAACATTTTTTACAATTTTTGTCTGTCTGTCTGTCTGTTTGTTTGTACTGGATATCTATATCTGTATACTGGATAATCTCTGGAATGGCTGGACTGATTTTGACGGGACTTTTATTTGTAGATAGCTGATGTACTTTTTTTTAAGGGGGGAAAATCATCGAATGACTGCTCCCGCCTGGGTGAGGCGGGAGGGAGTGTCAGACTCTTACTGACTAAGAACCACCCCGTTCCTTCTCCTGCACGTTGAGCCGGAGCCCCGGTTACCCGTTAGGTTCTATGCGACTCTGAATCGGCATCGGCCCTGTTGGGTCCCATCTGTGGTCGTCTGATGGCTCTTTGAGGCGCAGATGTACTAAGGGATAACATAAGCTACTACTTTTATGCTGGAAAGAGGAAGGTAAACAGAAGAGGCTCGTTTTCATGTGGTCTTGTTCTATGCAAACGAGGTCATTTTCTTTGTGAGAGATGCCATCGAGATTTTCTTTGTGAGAGATGCCATATATTTATCTATAACATATTCTAATTTATCATATATTTTATATTAATTAGGTATGTTTATACATCATATATCTATTATTTATCTATAACGATAATCAGTCGTTAAATTATTCAAGTAAAACGAAATTTAGCCTTAATTAATCATTAGTAGATAGGCGATATTATATATTTCATAACATTGTGTTTAGAAAAAACAACGCATGCCGGGTGCGACACAGGAATTTTGATAAAACTTCGTATTTTATTAACAATCTAATTAGAATCCATGAATAATAGTCTCCCTTCAAAATAATACGGAAAGTTTCAACTCATAAATCATTAAAAAACAAGCTAATTATTGATAAACACGCAAGATAAATAGAAATATATGTTTTATATTTATATTTTAGACACGCGGTTATAAAGTTATCTAATTTTAATTAAAAACTATGATTATGTACGGGAAAAGTTTACCTGTAGGCCGCTGATGGATTAAGCGTTATTTTTGAATAATTATGAAGAGGTTTAAACGGAATAATTCCAGAATTTTCAAGTGAAATCTACAATTAGCCGTTCACAAATTGTCACTGCTTCACTGAAAAAAACATATGATATTGACGGTGTAGGTATCTCTTTCTATTTAAGCCGATAACGCTGTTGTTAAAACGAGACCAAAAATGACATGCTTTTTATATCTAGAATTGTGAGCTGGAACGCGAAGTTGTATGATTGACAGTCTAAAAAAAGATGCGTTCATTTTAGACCAGGAAGTTTGAATAAATTGAAGATTTTATTTTATTCATATTCTCGTAAATTCTATAATTTTATCCATGAACATTCTTCCGAAAGTATTATTTTTGCTCCAGAAAGAAAAATTATTAGTATTTAACTGATTAGAAGTCGAAAATAAAAATAATTTACCATGCAAAACGACACCAAAACGCAAACAAAACGTCAATGACTAATCGAAGTGTCAACAAAAAACAACCTAATTTTCTAACCTCCAAACCAGTGACATTTTGTAAAAACATTAACCAAGCGAGAAGAAAGCTGCTTATTAACTTCAAAAATATAATTTAAAATAGCTTTATAATCCAAAATGTTGCCGTTATCGCTCCTCCGTACAGCGCAGAACCATCCAATGCTGGTAGAATTAAAAAATGGCGAAACTTATAACGGCCATTTAGTTAGTTGTGATAACTGGATGAATATTAACTTAAGAGAAGTTATTTGTACGTCCAGAGATGGTGACAAGTTCTGGAGGATGCCCGAGTGCTATATCAGAGGCAGTACTATCAAATATTTGCGTATTCCGGACGAAGTTATCGACATGGTGAAGGAAGAGACCCAGGTATGTTTATCAACTTTATTTTTGTTTAGACGGTGAAAGTGTACATGCGTTTTATTGTCAGGCTCCTGATTTTATTGTAATATTTAACTATACATGATTTATTTTCATATTAAAGGGTTGTGCTGAGGATTTGTGCTATGTAGGTTGATATTGTGCAATGTAATAAAAAAAACGATTTCACCCGCCTCGTTGGCCGAGTGGTCGCAAGTGCGACTGCCGGGCAAGTGGTCTCAGGTTCGATTTCCGGGTCGGGCAAAGTATTACTGGGTTTTTAAATATTCTCGATAGTAGCATGGAGCCTGGAAATGTGCCCGGTATATGGCAATAGGCTCACCCCCTATTACATAGCACTCATAATATAAATAGTGAAAAGTGGGTGTTACATTGTACAGTGGCATTAAGTGCTGGAATGTGCACCTCTGCCTACCCCTCCGAAGATAAAAAGGTGTGATGTTATGTTATGATTTCACCCTCAAGTCATCTAATTATTTCATCTGCTCTGGGTGAGGCGAGAGGGTGTGTGGCTATTACTGACTTAAAACCACCTATTCCTACTTCTACTCTTTGAGCTGGAGCCCGGCAACCTGTTAGATCCTTTGTAGCCCCGCAACATATCTACAAAAACATTATGTATATTTTCAGGTCAAGTCCAGAAGCCGTAGTGAAGTCTCTAAAGGTCGAGGCGGTGGTCAGAACATGAGGACAGGTCGTGGTGGCAATCGAGGTGCCTTCGGTAATCGTGGACGACCAGCACCCCTTGCCCGAGGCGGTGGTAATCAAGGACGAAACCCACAGCAGAATAAGAACAAGAAATAGTTTTTTTGTAATTGTAATTCTCATGAGACATATTTAATTTACTTTTTGAAAGCTACAGTTGGTTATAGACAATAAACGGAACCCTAACATCTAGCGCATCGCATATAGGAGTTTAATAGACTATACTGTTCAATCAAATAAAGAACGGGTTGCAAATTGAAAATATACATCACAGAAAAAGTTTTCAATCGGTGCAACTCACTCTCCTACACCCGTGTGTACAATTGCGGCGATGGGCACTCAACGCTCTCGTACACCCGTGTGTACAAGAAACGCGCGAGTGGTTAACCATGAACTCCTTGCCGAAATCAGTGTTTCTTGACAAATGTAACTTGGTGTCTTCAAGTACCGAGTGAACAGGATGCTCATAGGTAGGTGTGCTCCATTATCGGTCACATCATCGCTTACCACCAGGCGAGATGGTGGCCAAACGTCGTCCTATCAAGTATAAAAACTAAAACATCATTTTTAACTACCTTTTATTTGGTCAGCCTGTAATGAACTATGTAATAAATCTGATTTACACACACTTCTAATTGTTGTATCATCATGAAACTTTGCAATTTTATGTAGATTACATGATAATACAATATTGTGGTACCATCACACTAATTTGATGATGGAATTGGAAGGTGGCTGATGGAACTTTGGACTACCTACGAGTAAATGATAGCAGTTTGAACTCATTAGATACAGTACCATCTTTGCCATGAGGGTACTTGAGCCTGTGCCCAGAGCCGCCATCCTCAGGGTCCCCGAAGGACCGATAATTTCTACGACGGACACTGAATGGAGCAAATCTTTGTGTAATCCATAAATTGTTATTTCGGGTCTGGATGTCATAGTTATATGAACTTGTACATTTGTAAATGCACCCACGATACAGGAGAAAATCCTAGTGTGGTGCAACAATATAAAAAGAAATATCCACAAGTTTCCCAAACTATTTTGTTCTCAAGTTCCCCGGTGTAATCTAAATCAGTCCTGATTAGATATGTTCAATTCTCCAAATGATGAGGACATACGATTAGAAGCGTATTCTTAACCATATTTAATTGAGTTTCGTTTGTCATCTATATCTAACTGTGGCGTTCTAAAGGTTACGTATGTCAAATCGTTTACATAACTATGTAACATGCTAAGGTAAGCAATCCAGATGCCGATTGACCTCTGATATGTCGGAGCATATTTCCACGCGAGACAATGTGTTTTCTATTGTGTCTTATATACCGACATACAAGAGGTTTAACCTAGAGAGCGTCCTAGGCGAGCAAATTATAAGCGCCTCTAATTTCTTTTGGCGCCACCGCCACTAAGACTAAACAGACGAACCACATTTCAACTGCAAATTGCAGTTCGGATGTAGTCTGCACGTAGTTGACACGACTGTAATAGAACTGCAATCAGAGTGCTTGTTTAGTTTGCAACCGTTCAGTCATGACTGCAATAGAACTGCAATCGGAGTGCTTGTTTTGTTAGCAACCGTCTGGTCATGACTGCAATAGAACTGAAACCAGACTGCTGGTTTTGTTGGCAACCGTTCAGTCATCACTGCAATGGAACTGCAACCAGAGTTCTCGTTTTGTTTGCAATCGTTTAGTCATGACTGCAATAGAACGGCAATCGGACTGCTTATTTTGTTTGCAACCGTTCAGTCATGACTGCAATAGAACTGCAATCGGACTGCACGTTTAGTTTCCAGTTCAATTGCAGTCGTGCTGCATCTGAACTGCGATTTGCGGTTGGATTGCAGTTGAAATGCAGTCCGTCTGTCTAGAGCCTATGGGCGTAGCGCGGCGCCCCTCACCAACCTGGCGCCCTAGGTGCTTGCCTAGTTTGCCTGACGGATAATACGCCTCTGGAGTAACCCATTTTACATAATCAATTTAAAGAAAGCGTTTCGTGAAGGACAGTAATCTAAATGTAATGTAACTTTAAAAATTAAATGTAAGTCTTGGTTTAAGTAGTATTTGTGTTTTTTTACATGTATTTTATTACATGTATTTTACATGACTATCGCCTCATACCTAAATCTTTGTCGCGGAGAACCTAACGGGTTACAGCGGCTCCGGCTCGAAGTGCAGGAGTAGGAACGGGGTGGTATTTAGTCAGTAAGAGTCTGACACTCTCTCCCGCCTCACCCGGGCGAGAGAAGTCATTCGATGATTTTCCCCCGGTTAAAAATAAAAAAGAAACCTAAAGCTATATATCAGTGGTTCTCAACTGGTGGTCCGTAGACTACTAGTGATCCGCAGAAAATAAATAAAACAGAACGTAAAAGAACACAGAACTTAAAAAAAATATCAGAAATTAAATAATCCAGAACCTAAAAAAATATGGAACGTAAATACAAGACTATTCTGTTTAATAAATGATACGTTTTAACCTCAAAAATAATAATTCAATTACTGCATCATCGCTTAACACCAGGCGAGATAGTCAAACGACTGCCCATCAAATATATATATAAAAAATAAATTGAACTCGTATCAAATCTGTGAGGAGCACCTTATTTCAATAATTCTATATTCACTATTTTTTTATGAGTGAATGTAATTTTAGTACTTTTCTTTGCATTAAGGATTAGATGTTCTTCTGTTTGGTCTTGTAGGGTATATATAACTGCTGAACATAGAGCCATCAGACCACCACAGATGGGGCCCAATAGGGCCGATGCCGATTCGGAGTCGCGGAGAACCTAACGGGTAACCGGGGCTCCGGCTCGACGTGCAGGAGAAGGAACGGGGTGGTTTTTAGTCAGTAAGAGTCTGACACTCCCTCCCGCCTCACCCAGGCGGGGGCAGTCATTCGATGATTTTTCCCCCTTAAAAAAAAAAAAAAAAAACTGCTGAACATTAGGTTAGGTTTTACAAAATAAAAATACCACACAAAGAAACCATACATACATACATAACTTCTCTGCCTACCCCCATGGGAGACAGGCGTGATGTTATGTATGTATGTATGTATGTACGAAGAAAGCACCACCATCTATATATATATATATATCTATATAAATAAAAATGGATTTCTGTTCGTTAGTCACGCAAAAACTCGAGAACAGCTGTACTGATTTGGCTAATTTTGGTCTTGATAGGTTCGTGGAAGTCTAGGGAAGGTTTAAAAGGTGAGAAAAAACTTTTAGGAGGTCAGCTAGTCTTCCAATAAAGTTTTCGGCGAAACTTGCTTTCTGACTATAGATATGTTTATAAGCCATGGTTTCTATATCCAGTAGTGTCGTACAAACGTGATTCTATATTACGTTCCACACTCCTTAATATAATACCACATGAAGAAAGCAATAGTAATAGTGGCCTCTAACTTAACAAGAATGATAAAAACTATCGTGAGACATACTAAATTAACTAAAAATCGCGGGTTACTCACGTGAATATACTGAGACAGCGCACGCTACTCACGAGGAAGAACCCCTTCGAAACTAGTAGAGCTTTAGAGGAACCCACGATTAAGAACATAGAAATATTAAATATATCTGTGATTAAGAATGATAAAAATGGTCCTTTACCAGGAAAAGCTTCGGAACCGCTGATCTATTGGTTCTTCGGTATCGTCACTCGCACGGCTGCACACAGCGCATGCATTGTTTTGCACCCGGTTTCATCACGTATCACTCCGGTCGACCTGGGCCCATTAGTGCCAAAGAGTGGCGAACCTGCACCTTTGTTACATAACATGACATGACATCACGCCTATTATCCCCGAAGGGATAGGCAGAGGTACACATTACGGCACTTTATGCCACTGTACAATGTAACACCCACATTTCACTATTTATGTTACGAGTCCTATGTAATAGGGGGTGAGCCTATTGCCATATACCGGGCACATTTCAAGACTCCGTGCTACTACTGAGAATTTTAAAAACTCAGTAATACTTCGCCCGACCCGAGACCCCTTGCCCGGCAGCACTTGCGACCACTCTGCCAACGAGGCGGCTACCTTTTTGTTCCGTATGGGAATTTTGCTTGAAATATGATGTGTTACTTCACACCAAATTGCAGGTTAAATTTTCATGCTAAATGACATACTTACTTTTATATTTTTCAAGTGTGGGAGATCCATGCTTCGGCACGAATAGGCCGACTAGACCGGAGTGATACCTCGGCCTCACAGAAAACCGACGTGAAACAACGCTTGCGTTGTGATTCGTCGTGTGAGTGAGGTTAATGGAGACTTAATCCCTCCCCCCTTCCCTCAATAATCATCAAATTCTTAATACCAAAAGGCCGGTAACGCACTTGTAACGCCTCTGATGCTTCAGGTGTCCATGGGCGACGCCGACTGCCTACCGATGCATTTAATACATAACCCTATAAAGGATTACTGTACCTTGGACAGTCTGAATTGCGGTATAGCCACAGATTATATCTATGCTACCATCAGGTGATCCATAAAAATGATTGACTAGTGACTTAAGTAAACACTCTTCATCACCAGTTATTTTGTTAACGAAATAAAACCCAAAAATAATGGCAAGATCATTTTATTAACATTGTTACTAACAAACAAATATACCTAACATATTATAATATCTATATACACAAGTACAGCCAGCCAAGCTATTTGACCTGCAGCTGTATCCAATGCCATTTAGCGCTTGTCTACATGTAGAATAGAAAACCAAATTACAGTGAAACCTGGTTAAGTGAGACATCAAGGGACCTGCAATGTCGTTTCACTTATAGAGGTATTCCACTTACCCAGTGTCTCAGATATACAGGTATAAATAAATATCTGTCTCATTTACAGAGGGTTCTATTAATAGAGGTGGACTTGGAATTACGTGTGGAATTTGTGGGTAGAATAAGAATGAGTAAACAAACAATGTTATCTGAATTACAGAGGTTTATGCACATAAAATTTACTCGCTGTCTCAGTTATAGAGGTAACTATGATGATAAATCGAAAGAACAAATCCTAGATATAGAGGTTTACCTCGTCCCACTAACAGAGGTAATTCAGTGCCAAAGTGTTGGGACCTCAGCATGAGTTCCAGTTATGGAGGTTTCTCACTTATACAGGTCCCTCTTAACCTTTTAAGTACCGTCATTACAGACAATTAAAGAACAATAGGTTGCGGTCACCGGTCTCCTGGCGGTGTTTGACAGTTTCAAGTTTCACTGTTTATGGAATTGACGTAAATTTTGACACTCGTCAGTGTCATCCCCATACATTTAGTTTTCTACTCTCTCTGTAGACAAGCGCTAAAGTGGCGTTTGGCTAAAGGCAAAGGCAAGGTAACATTGTTTGTTTACTCATTCTTATTCTACCCACAAATTCCACACGTAATTCCAAGTCCACCTCTATTAATGGAACCCTCTGTAAATGAGACAGATATTTATTTATACCTGTATATCTGAGACTGGGTAAGTGGAACACCTCTATAAGTGAAACGACATTGCAGGTCCCTTGATGTCTCACTTAACCAGGTTTCACTGTATTACAATTGGCTAGTTTCCTAGGTTTAAAATAAATTGTTTCAACTTTTCAATGCAATAAATAATCAAAAAATAATCATACTCTCATCCATTGATTTGACAATTTACCTAATTTTGGAATTTTTCTCAATAATTTTAAGGAAATAAGTAGGTATGCTATTTGATGCTGAATTATGATGACGTCAATACAAAAATCATAGAAAAGAACAACAAAAGTATTGAATTTGACTAGAGTCTGGCAAACGAAAGTAGAGACTGAAAAAGCCCGGCAAATTTAAAAAATACCTATCAGTATAGCAACCCAAAAATTAGTATGTCATACCTGGAGTAACCAGACGTGAAGACGTAACAAAAAAACAAATTATTATAAAGTATCAAATTAGGTTACTCCAGGTATGACATACTAATATTTGGGTTGCTATACTGATATTTTATAAATTTGCCGGGCTTTTTCAGTCTATACTTTCGTTTGCCAGACTTTACCTGTCAACAACCATATTATTTCAGTAAGTAGATAGACTATCTAACACCTCCCTTTAAAAATCTAGTCACAGCACACGAAACTACAATAATAAATAAAAATGACATCGTCTTTTTCATAAAGTTATAGACATAGATGAAAAATATACAGAGTGTGAACAGAACGCCCCCGAAACGCCGACAAAAAGATTTTTTTTACAATTTTAATTGTTTTTTGTTTTCGTGCCTTGAGCAGTTGATTACAACTGTCGTTACATAAAATAAGCACTTAATAGGGTAGATGACTAATTTTTATTTTAATGTCCGTCTGGTAGATTATTTAAAATCATTAGACACGTATTTTTTATTTTCTTAAAGAAACGAATACTTTTAACGATATATTGATTTGAAATGTCGCGTGACGTCACTTCTATGTACATTTTATACGTAGAAATGACGTTTTAGCCCCCACTCCTAAACTTTGATTCGTTTTATCTAAGTATCGTTTTATTATACGACAAAATAAAAATATACGTGTCTAATATTTTTTCACTACCTAACTGACGGTCTAATAAGATTTTTAATTTTCATACCCTGTCATCATTATTCTTTACTATTATGAAAATGAAACCTATTTATTACCATCATCTGTCGTCGTTTTTAGGAGCGTTCCATGTACACCTGTATAACAATAGTACAATATACAAATACACACATATAGGCACCATTTTTTTTAAGGGTGCAAAATCATCGAATGACTGCTCCCGCCCGGGTGAGGCGGGAGGGAGTGTCAGACTCTTACTGACTAAAAACCACCCCGTTCCTTCTCCTGCACGTCGAGTCGGAGCCCCGGTAACCCGTTAGGTTCTTCGCGACACATATTATAGGCACCATAATTTATGACTACTACCATAATTAATGACATTACGCCTTTGAATTCCGAAGGCATATACAGACGCCTTCTAATTCCGAAGGTATAAGGTAAGGTATAAAGAGGTCCACATATACAATATAAAGTGACAATTGACGAATTTTCATCCAAATCTATTTAGACGTTCTTGAATTATAAATAGTGTAACTAACACGACTTTCTTTTATGTATATATACTCGGAATTTTAATTCGATTCCAGATTTGACAATTTCAGTGTTGCAACGTTATGACAAGTACTAAATAGTGACGTTGCGAAATTATTTGATAAGGAAATGCAATATTTCTGGATCGATTCTTCTCGTTTATAATTTTACTCTCGTAAACTAAGGATATCAGGAAATTAAATATTTCTGACCGATAATTTAGTTTTGACGATTACTTAACGATCTGAGACTTTTCTTTTATAATTGTATGTGAAATAAATAAAAAAATGTAATCATGAAGGAACATGACAAATAAAACAGATAGATGTATTATGGTAATAAGTTATTTTATAAATTGTCGCCGTCATCGCTATCGCTATCCTGTCACTTTCTGTAACATTTATTATAAAACACACACACTGATTGTTTATCGATTTTTGTATTCATCACTACACTATTATATGTGGTATCATTATTTCACAAAATGACAGTAGCTATTGTCAAATCTGGAATCTAATTAAAATTCTGACTATAGATTATAACATAAATAGTAAAGTGGGTGTTATATTGTATATGTGGGCCTCTGTCCTCTTCAATCGTTGTTATACGAAAACATACCTTAGGATCAAAACAACAAAAGTTATTTTAATTTAAACTTTACTAGTTTAAAATTGCGAGGTAGGTAATTTACCGTTTTCAACAATGCTGTAAATATACTATTAACGACTATTAATTACTTAAAACCTAGAATTAATTAATTATATAGTTTTTGCACTTTAAACTGTCAAACACCAAGCGGTCACCGGTGACCGCAACCTATTGTTCTATAATTGTGTCTATAATGACGGTACTCGACGAGTTAAAATATCATGGTACGTTTAAAAAGTACCACTTGGAATTCGCCTTGACAGTCACCCGTCCTAATAACGTCGTCTGAAATAGGGCAGCAATAGGCAGTGGTAATATTTATTTCAATGTTCGTCTGATAGATTATGTTAAAACATTAGACACGTATTTTTTCTTTTCTTACAAAATTAAATACTTTCGACGATATATTGATTTGAAATGTCGCGTGACGTCACGATTTATTACATTTTATAGGGTAGTATAGCGTGATGTAACGACCTCACACTTCTAAACTTAAACA